AAGCATGTCATTGGTCTACTTTGAAAAAAAACAAACTCTCAAAACAAATCACACACAAACACACATAAATACTCACATAGAAACTGGGAAAAAAAACAACTCTCAAAACAAATCACACACACACACACACATAAATACTCACATAGAAACTGTAAAAGAAAAAAAAAGATGCCATCTCTTCTTTTCCAACCTTGTAAATACATAGATTTTTATACTGGGGGTTTTGGTGTCGGGGAAGCAATAGGTCTTTTAGCAGACAATAAACACAGTGTGTGATGATAGAAGTGTCAGGACGTGGTTTGTCTCTTGATCCGTGTACAGTGGATAGACCGAGAAAAACGACATAGTGTCCTTACGTCTGTCTGTCCATCTATAGGGACCCACCTTGATCCGACCCCTCCACACCAAAAACACTAACGGTTTACCTGAGTCTAACCACACGCAGACAAAAGACGTCTTGATTCCTAACAGCTCAAGTAGTCGCAGGAGAATTTTAAATGTGCTCACACTGGATGTTGCATGTTTGTTGGTGGTTCATACTATTTTTTGTGTCCACATGTATTTGAAAAAATAAAGGAGAGAGTGAGACTGACGTAGAGAGAGAGAGAGAGATAGAACAAAACATTATAGAGTGAATAAAAACCTATTAAAATGACCAGATAATGTATTCTGTCTGTACAAAGATGATGCTTGTTAAACCTGTTTGGTTTTTCACCTGTAAGTAGAGAAAAAAATATCTATAATGTCATGGTTTTGTGGTTGTATACAGGAGGTACTGATAAATTATGCAAATTGTGCTGTAAAAATGGCTGTTGCCCCATGTCTAAATATTAAATATGAGTACAAATGGAATGGTGTCGTGTCTTATCCCACATTTTCAGACATCACAGATGACGTCCTGACAGTGTGATCCAAGTGAAGTACCAGTATTTGGCCACGAGATGGTACCACGTGACTATCTGGTAAGAAAGTTTTGTTGTGTTTTTATTCCCATTGGTTTTGATTTTCTTATGGCTAAATTTATTTCACTAATCATTGTTTTTATCTTTTCTAAGTATTTTTTTATTTGAATATAATCTTTATTTGAATTTGATCTTAATTCTGTTTTTAATGTACAGTGTTTTATATCCAATCTTAACCAATGTTCTATCAGTCTGGACTATTTGTATATGTATTTCATCACTTTTTATAAAATACATTTTGGCCAGGTTTAAAGATTTTTCTCACCACAACTGATTATGACTTTTGGTCCATATTCTATTCTATGCTGTCCTTGGATAATGTTTTTTTAGTCCGGTAATCAGAATGCTAATTTTGTTAGCCATTTTAGCTAGTTTTGTTATATATACATTTTCGACTGAAATTCCCTTATATATTTACTTTAATTCTTAGTGGTGTTTCTTCAGTCATTCAGAACAGGCCTCTGTTGTTTATTACTCACGTTTATTGTGCTTTCAAGCTAATTTGCAACTCTGGACCATGTTTTGGACCATTTCTTATACATGTGTTGTCTTATGTACTGGGGTTACTACTGACAAACTTTTGGCTAATTCTCTGAAATATTTTCTTATTCTTTCCTTCTTTGGAGCACGTCAGTTACTCAGAACAGGCCTCAGTGTCCTGTAGCTTCTCATACTCCGGGAACTAAAGATGTTCTGACAGCTACTGAATTGAGAACACTCAATGAACTCATGCGGTGTACTTTACAAGACCTTGACCCGAAGAGAATCCATCTGAAAAGATGGAAGTTCAAAGAGCAATAACGCAATTAATTTTTTCGGTAATGACAGGAGTTGCGTGATGTCCTGTTTATTTCTCAGATTGTAAAAGATAGTGAAGCATCATCCGCCGGACAGACAAAGCTTTCAAAGACAAAAAAGAACGGCTGTAGGGCATCGGCCTGTTATGCGATCAGGGATTTTTTCCAAGATCATTCGCCAGTTGGCTTTCAAGTCACAGATGTGCGTGGGGGTGATCATTTCCAGAAAAGGCCTTTAGGACAACTATGGTGCACTGAAGTAACGCCATCATGAACAACAAGTGTCACACTGAGATATAACTGATGCTTTTAAAGCCTGTACATGTGTTGTTAATTCCGCGTTCCGGTTATGATTCACAATTTTTTTAAGGTTTCAACAGGGGGGTGGGGTGTCGTTTTGGTCAAACCAACAAGCTTTTTCCTGTTGCGGGGGCATTATTACTCAAATAGCGTGGTGATGATTTGAACCAAAACAAGTTGTTATTGTCTGTTATTCTTGAACTGGTTTGTTGTTCATTTCTCAGTTTTCTTCACTTTTCCCATGTTGATCATAAGGTCAGCGTCAGCAAGACGTGTTGTTCGTGACAGGCTTAGGCTTAAAATATCAATGCCAGCAAGTACACATTTTCACCAACAGGGGGTGTAATTAACCAAGGTCTGATATTTTAATCTTTGGCGTAACAAGTGAAATTGTGTAATACATGGGTATTTATGTGTGTTAATATGCATAGTGTATATGTACATATGTAAATAAACAAGTACGTATGTATATATATACATATATGTATATATAATATATATAGTATATAGCTATACCCTATATTTTAGGGTATATATTTTATATAACCCTATATTTTTGTGTTGCTGTACTAAATGTGGTAGAAATTTGTCTGTCTTTTAAGACCTTATAAGGACAAATGAAGGGACAGGTCATGAAAAACTGTGATGTGGTTTAATTATTGTCTCTGTGTGGACACCTGTTGCAGACCATAAATAAATAGCGGCGGCAGCTCTAGGTGACGCAGCAGATCAACAGTCACGAGGCCTGCGTTTACTTTTAAATAAAGAATTTTATATATAGATGTGGAAGAGGAGCTGAGGCATCGCCTCCATCTATATACAGGAAGTTGACATTTGAGATTAGTTTGAAGTTTGGAGTCGTGTTCCACTGACTTTATAAAACATAATTCACTGATGTAAAATCAAAAAGAGCTGTTTCTTTCTTTTTTCTTTTCAACCCTTTTTCTAGTTTATATCTTAACATTAGTTTACATGGTGGAACACAGGTAAGCTAACGGACTAGCCAATTATCAAGGTAGTAGGCTGGCTAACAGCTTAGCATATGCACTGGCTAAAATGGACGCTTTTTCTGCTTTTCTTTTTCTTGTTAGCTAACAGCTAACTAAATGTTTTTGCCAACAGGAAAGGACAATTGGTAAACACTCCAGCTAACAGGTGAGGCTACGTAGTTGCTAATGGGTAGAGACTGACTTTAAAACGTTAAATTCACTGATATAAATTCAAGTGGAGCTTTTTTTATTTTCTAGTTTTAATCCCTTTTCTACTTTATATCTTAAGATTAGTTAACATGGTAACATGTAAGCTAACAGCATAGTCAATTAGAAAGATAAAAAGCTCGCTAGCATGTTAAGGGGAAGCTTGGTTGTTAGCAAACAGCTAACTAAATACTTTGGTCACCAGAGAAAGCTGTGTAATGGCTAACAGGTGAGCTTACAGTACATGGTGTCTAAAAGGTAGGCTGACATAATAAGACAGGCTCATATTTTTGCAGTAGCTTCAGTACTAGGTAATATAGTACATTTTACTTGTTTTTACCCAAAGTATTGCAGATAATATTATTTGAACTAAATGAATGACCATGGCCTGATCAACATGTGTGTTTGCTGAAACTCACAGTTTGATCAAAGGACACCAGGCCTGATCTGCTCCATTGTCAACACTACCCCCCCCACCCCCACCCTCCACCCCTCCCCGCTCTGTTTTATATTCCTTCTGCTTCCTTTCATTTGCACCACCTCTTTCTCTTTACTGCTGCCCCGCCCACTTTCCTGATGGATTTCTCAGATCCTCCACATCTGAAGATGTTTCTTCTCTGTCTCCCAGCATCAAAGATCTGACCTGCATCAGACGGGTGCTTGAAAATATGCCACTGTTGCCCCGTGAGCTTGATCAAAACAAATGAGATAGGACGACATCTGGGTAGGCATTGCCGGATGACACTGCTGATGTACAGTATCATGCTTTGGTGGAGTGGGGGGGTGGGGGGGGCAGGGGAGGGGTCAAACATCCAGCAAATATATGGCTTGATCTCTAGAAAGTCAACTGGAATTTACAGTAAGTGCATTTGCTGTGCTCCAATGACAGACACACTACTTCTACTTGGCCCACAGACAGTAATGGATTAAGGACCTTTAGTCACTGACAGCTGACGGCCGGAGGCCAACAGTTGGCTGCTTGACTCAACCAAACCAGGCCAGATAAGGAGAGTTTTGGGTATATTGGGGGAAGGATATTGGGTAGGGCTGGGGCAGTGGTGGCTTAGTGGGTAAGGAGGTGGACTTGGGTCCAGAGGTTTTTAGGTTCGAGTACAACCAGCTGCCAAGTTGCCACTGAGGTGCGCTTCACTTCACTTCATGGGTCAAATTCATGTTCACGTCACTTAATACATCCTGTTCTTCTTCTTGGCTGTCAAAACACACACACACGAAAAAAAGGTTCATTACCACCAACATCACTGCCAACAGTGTTTTCAGAAATTAGGGAAACTGAACGGGTTGACATTAAATGTCACCAACATGACAGAACTGACAAGAACAAAGAACAAATGCACTTTTAAGCGACAGAGCCAAGACCTTTTATGTCCAATTACCTCTGATGACCCCCCCCCCCTCAATGGACTTCTTTTCATCGGGTGCCAGCTCTCCCTCTCTGTGCCATGACCACTCCTCATGACAGGGCTGCTTTCACTAATAGTAATGTGATCAGTCAGCACACAGAGTGGACACAGGCTGCCTCCCCCACCCTCCCCCCCCCCCCCCCCCCCCCACCCCCCCTCCCCCAGTGAGACATCATATCATATGCACTTGCCATCACTCATCTTTCACTGAGTCAACAAGAGGCAACCATGGCTACAAAACCAAGGATATCATGTGGTGCAGGGAGACTGTGTGGCAGTACTGGCTAGTTGTTTGTTTTTGTTTTTTTGTATGTCATTGTTAGTACTGCTGTTCACGTTTAGTTGATGTTGAGATGACACCCCCGGGCTCTGTCCTATACTGCCCTGAATTGCTAGCAGACTGGGCTGTCATCATGCATTACGTCCCAGAGATGTGATCCATAATCTATGTCATTTGACCCATATACGGAAATCGATTACAGGCCTTTAAGGGGTTGCATTCAGTTAGTGTAGTAAAAAATCAGCCTCTTTCTATTCAATGGAGATATCATTTGAATCAAAAAGTTCTGTAATTTTTTGTACAACAGTGGCACCTCACAGCGCCTCCTCAGGGGCGCCTCGCCCCACTATTTGACAAGTACATGTGCAAACTTTCACCAAGTTTTACCAGTATCCCCCTTTCCTAAGCCTCCACTTGGCACGTTCCTTTGAAACTTCCAAATATGGTTCCCAGTGGGCGTGGCTTGGTTGGACCATTCCTGACACCTAATCAGAGGAGGACCATGTGGAAGGCCAGGTGTGGACTAGAGGACAGGTAAGAAACTGAGCAAATTCACAAAAGAAAAAAAAAATCAAAGACTACATTTATGTGTACTACAATATTCCTCCATCACAAAAGAAAAAAAACAAAAACATTTATGTGTACTACAATATTCCTCCAAAACCCTGATCTGAATCTTTAATGTTGTGTAATGCCTTGATGTAATGTACTGTTAAACAGCTGTAACGCAGTGACCATTCATTTCAGCTTTGATGTTGATGAAAACGTAAGTTCTTCAAAGAGGGAGAACAGTTGTTGAATCATTTCTCTGATGCTTCTTCAGAAGGTGTCATGTCCAGTGGAGCGATCTCAGCAGCCTGAAATCCTTCATTATCTTTTTAGTCTGCTGTCATTGATCACAGTAGATCACCCCCACCTCTCTCTCTAACCTCCCCCTACTATGTCCACAACACGTCCCCTGTCCCCAGGGGCACGTTTTGTCCTGGGGGACGTGTCTTGCCTGGTGGCGGAGGCTGCAGCTGAAATCTATTGCTGTGTACATTAATGAGTACAAGTAGAAAAATGTTATTTATTTAAAAAGAAATTGGAATTAAGAGTTCCTTTAATATCCTGTAGGAATACGGAGTAGACAGAGCCACAGGATGTTGTAGGATCTCAGCAGGGAGCCATGGAGATTTTCTCATTAAAGCGTTTCATTGGCAAATCCTCATCTTAGTAGGTGGACGAAGGCAAAAATGTGCATTAAAAATTGAATTTACACAGTGTAAACCTGGAACACTGAGAAAAAGATGTCGAAAAACAAACATTGCTAGAGCAGGACACCCGCTTGTTAAAATGACTTAGATTTAATCACGTCTGTATGAAACAACACTAATCATCAGACATTTTCCCCATCGTAATATCAATATTATACAATGCAATTGCATTTAGAGGAAAATAGAAGATAAAGCACAATTACTTATTGAAATCTGGACATATCCAAGAAAGGCCTTGTTGCCTAAGAACATTGGTATGTTAATCAAATTAACTCTCCCCATGTGTGCGCTATTTCGCACTGTACGATATTATTTAATTTCCTTTTAAATGTGATCATTAATTCACCAAAGTCTGGTTCTCCTTAGAAAAGAAAAGAAAACAAAACACATAAGCAGATTATTAAATACTATTCATACAAAAAGGCAACTTGATATCACAGCTCATGTAAGACAATATGTTGCAGTGTACTTGTAATGACATGTTGTGCAAGAACAAATAAAACATTCCTTGGTTTGGACCTACTGACATCTTCTGCTGTCACAGACCATAGTCACATTTACACTGAATGGAGTTCTCCAAGGATTTAAAATCATATTTACTCCTTTAAAAACATCATTATCTCCTACATGGACAGACGTTTATTTTCTCCATTATGTTGAGTTTCCTGTTTTATTGTATTTATTTTTTTCATGATTACTTCTCTCCTGCTGCTCAGAGGTGCAGAGACGGTTCAGGAAAACAACAGACTCGTGGCTGGACTGTGAGGAGTCGGCGTGGAGACGGCGGACAGGTTGCTAGGCGACGGCAGATGGGCAATTCCCTGTGCAGGTGGGTGGGGCTGGGAACACCTGCTGCCTTCAACACTCACTCTCACACATACACACATACACACATATGCACATACACACACATACACATAGAGATTCCATATTCACTAGGTAACAGCCTTAACATCTACTCTTCCTGTTACGTTGAAGCACTGAGTGTGAAAGAAATTGTAAATCAATGGGTCATTTGGTAAAAACCAAACTGCACTGAGCTGTGTTTTTTAAAAACAAAGAAAAAACAATCATTTTTTTAATTTATGCTGGCTCATGAAACTCATAATAATTTTTTTTTAAACTACTCTCACTAAAAGGCAACAAAAATCTAAAAAACTGACAAAATAGATCAAGCCTGAAGGAAATAAAATTATTCAGGAAAGACGTTAGATCAGACATTAATATAGTATAGAAAGTCCAGAACTTAATAAAACTTGGGGAAAAAAAATTCATATTTTTTAAAGGGTTAGTTTTAAACCCTAAATGTTAGTACAAGCTACAAGAAACAGAAAAAAAAGCAAAGAATTTAGAAAAAATGATGATTTTGCAAAAGACAAAAGACATTTATACAGTTCCAAAAGAAGAAAAAAAATCCTTAAATGTGATAAAACTAAATGACTGAATTTCCTGACTCTGCATTAGCTTGATTTTAGGGACCAAACAAAACTAATCCCTGTGAAATATCCCATGTAATCCCATTAGACAGATTGTTGCATTTGTGCCGACGATATCACACATGGAGCCAATCGGCTGCCAGGGAACGGCTTCACTGAAAGATTTTAATGCTGCGATTTATGGACCCGCTGACAAGTGTTGGTCTGGTTCTGTCTGTACGTTACAGAAATCGGTGAACTCTTAATTTTTATCGGACTGTCTGAAACGTCCACAGCTGCTGTGTAAATAAGCCTCACCTCCGTCTGTGTCCGACCTCTGCTGAGTCTCTGTGAGCTCCACTGAAACCTGAGTTGGTGCAAGTATTTACAGAGTGTTTTTTCTTCTTTTTTTTTGCGTGATTAATGGGAAACACCTGCTCTGATCATATATGTACAGTATGTCCACAGCTGTTATATGATACAACACTGTTTTCAGATATATTAATGAGTAAATCAGCATATTTATGAATGTTCAATTCAATTTTTATATACGAGGTAAATACAAAAGGAATTACCGTATTTTCCAGACTATAGGTCGCCTTTTTTTCCATCCTTCGGCCACGTTTGTGACATATATATTTAAATATATAATTTCACAAGCTAGGTTTGTGACTTATATATTTAAATATATAATTTCACACTGACAACTACTAGAGGGCACTCTAAGCTTGTGTACCAGTATCTGCTACTACTGTACCACTAAAAACTTACATGTTCGTTATTTTCACACTGACAGCCGCCAGAGGGCACTGGTGCGACTTGTACTCCGGAGCGACTTTTAGTCCGTATATATACGGTAATATTTGTTGTATGTGTTACATATAAACTATAGATATTCTGGTTTTTAACATCATGGCATTTAGCTCGCTAGCCCTCAGAGCTAACCTGTTTATTTTAATGCATAATCACTTTGACTGCAGATTGATGTAGTTCTTCCAATGATAACACAGCAGTTTTCATGTCCCCACTGAGTGAGAGGCTATTTTGAGGTTCAAGATATAGTTTGGTGTTAGGGTAGATATTTGGTCAGATTAGAGTTCGGGAAAGAGGGAAAGTTAAAGAATGGGTTGTTTTTATGTGAAGTGCTGACTAAAAAACACAGTGTGCGCCATGTGTCCAGTGGTGCTTGATAACAGCGTGAGAACCGTGCGTAGGCTAATAGCTGCTGTTGTGGTGAGGAGAGAGAGAGAGGGAGAGAGACGGAGAGAGAGAGGGAGAGAGAGGAAGCCTGGAAACCCATTTGTGCATCAGGAAGACAAACAGCAAAATGCGCCCACTGTAAAAAAAAAAACAAAAACAAAAAAAACAAGGAAGCTTCCAATGATGGTCCAAATTAGACAGTTAGATTGTTAGGGGTGATAATAACTTTTTTCTTTCGTAACTTTTTATGACTTTTTCCATCTATTTTTATACCTTTTTTTTGCCTTCATCATAGTAATAAAAGCCCACAGGAAAATCAGGAACCTGGAGGTTTTTATTTAGTTATATTATAAATATAATTTAATGACTTAATTTTTGACTTTGTGACTCATTTTAAGACGTTTTTTTGTATAAGGTGAGGTGTGATTATGAGCTCCAAATGTTTGGTTCATTTATTTTTGGTTGCTTTTGTTATTTTATATTAAGTGATTTTTTTCCACTTAAAGTTTGATTATCACTCATGAAATGACTTAATCTTTGCGGTGTGAAACTATTTTAGCCTTATCTTGTATGAGAAATGGTTGGATAATTTATAGTATAGTTTAAAATGTAGTTGTTCTTTTAAAGTGTTGATTGATCTTTTACTCATCACTGAATTAATGGCTTCATTTTTTTTCCTTGTGGATCCATTCGAATACTTTGTATTCTGGATTAAATTAAAGTATAATGTTAGGTCTAAGTTTCCCGTTTTTGGTCAAATGTTTTGGCTGCTGTCGTCATTTTTAAGTGTCGTTTATGAAGTTATTGTTTAAATTTCAAGTATTTAATGACATCTAATCCAAAGACTGAATATCGAACAACACTGAAATCACAGCTGCACAGAAAAAAAAATACTACGGTTCGTAACCCGCTGTTTTGACTCCTAAAAACAAACAAGGCGGATATTTCTTGCAGTGTGCGGCCACGCTGAGGCGCTGACTGCGCCCTCCCCCTCCTCTCCTTTTATTTTTGACACACGCCATAGATCCGCTATAACAGCCGGATCATACTTCCAGACAAGCGCGCTCCCTGCCGCTTCACGCAAACACACGCACGCGCGCACACAAACACGGTTGAAGCAAGAGAAAGAGAAAGAGAGAGAGAAAAAAAGAAAAGACACACACACCCCTCCACTCCCCACACACACACACACACACACACACCCACGAGCAGATGAGATTTGTTTGCAAACGCGCACCCATGGCGGCGTGAGGCGGTTTTTTGGATGAGAAGTGCGCACGAAGGGACGGAGGGTACGGGCGAAGGAAGGGACCGTGGGATTAAGGAGAGTCTTTTCTCTGTCTGGATTGAGCTGGGGAGGGAATAAGCCGAGCTATGGATTACTCCATCTATCTACTTTTAATCCTGTCAACGGTGTCGTCCGTGTCCACGGGGCAGTTCCCCACGGCGCAGATGTGAGTATGAACCGCCTGTTGGTTTTTACGGTGTGACCAGAAACAGACTGTAACTCCACGTAGTTGTGTAAATGCATCCTACTGTAGGTCTGCAACTTGATGGAGCACAGTCGGTGGACCATAACTCCTCCAGGGAGCAGGAGGTGACTGTCTGTTGTTCCGTCCTTCGGCCAAGTGCTTTGATGATGATTGCTTTCCCCTTATGGACACAACTTCTCCTTGTACCAGGAGGATATTTAAAGCTCCGGCTCTCACAGTCCTCCCCGTGTGTTGCCATGCTTGCGGCAGTGTAGTGTGACATGTGGCTTGCTGTCACATGAATCAGCCCTGGAAGGTCTGGAGATCCCAGGCTGGTCCCAGGGTGGTCCCAGGGTGGTCCACAGGTCCCTCACAGACACAGTGTCAAATGATTGGACGAAACTAATCTAACTAGTCCTGGCCAGAATATCTAAAGAGTACATTAGGTGTGATTGTCTCCAGAAACTGTATATTCAGAAGTACCCACATTCTCTACTCTGTGCGAGCTTGATTGCGACAAGTTACAGCTAAAGTAACAGTGAATTTACTGCAGTTTTTTAAGCAGTAAAACGCATACACCCCTGCTTTTTATTTGGTCTGAATGTATCTGAACAATCTTATCAACATAGACCATATATAAGAAATGGACGAAGCTCTGTTGCTTTTGAAGATAAAGCAGCTGGAAGTGCAACACTGGCTTCACTGAGAGTGACACAGTTTGAAAACAGTAATATAATAACAAACCTATGAAAAGAAAACTAATCTTTTTTGGGGGGGAAATGGAGGATTGGAGGGAAAAGTGTCAAGAGTAAATATGATAAATAAATATATAAATATGTCACAGGGTCTGATTGACAGCCAGGTGCGCTAACAGAAACATATCATAATAAATAAAAAAATAATTTGTTGATCCCATATTTGGGAAATTGTTGTTAGCAGCAGATATATGTCTACAGGCTGCCCCTAGCAAGCGCCAAGTATGTGCTTCCTCTGGGAATCGAACCCAGGACCCTCTGCTCTCTGTTTCCGAAGCAGGTGTGCTAACTGCTAAACTATAGAACAGACTAAAACCGACTATCCACTTGGAAGAAAGAAAAGTCAAGAAAGGATCACGATAATCGCTAGGTTAGTGACGCAAACCGATAGCTTACAATTAGCGATATTTAAAATCAGCTCTGTCCAGTGTTTATCAATGCTCAATGATTTGTAAGCAGTCAGAGATACACGAGACATCATTTTGTACTCCAAGTGATAATGTTTCAAAACCTAAAAAGTTCAAAGATACACGAGACATCATTTTGTTCTCCAATCATAAGCGATAATGTTTCAAAACCTAAAAAGTTCAAAAATACCTTGACTGTACTGCCCCCGGTGGCAAGCCTTCAATCTGCTGTTTTTTGGCGTTTTTTTTGCCTTATTTTGAGAAAATGCTGAACAAGGAGGGATCTTTCAAGTTTCAAAGAAACAGAAAAAAAGCCTTTCTTGTGTCTGTGTTTCGCACCATGTGGCGTTTGTTGTTGTGGACAGACGGCCTTTGTAAAACTTGTGTTTCTAAGTCAGAAACTCGCTGCTCAGCAGATGGTTTACAGCACGCCGCCATTTCCAAGGACAATACTTCCGATTTTTTTTTTTCCCTTTCCCTCTAACCATTCTTCTGAAAAACACTCAGTCATGTACGATTTAAAGCGAGATCTCTGCTTTGATGCTGCGACTTGGCCACAACTGATGACAAATCAGCAGAT